CCAAAAGGCCCGTCGCCCAGACACATTTCATCTAATTTATTATAACACCTTTTATGCCAATCTGTCTGACACTTCTTCTCCATGACACCTGACTCAGTTAGGGCATATACTGTATATCTCTTATCCACAAAGAGGACAAAAATCCCACCCAATGATGCAGCTACATGCCTTTTGTTCTATTAAATGTTGATGTCAGGGATCCCGGCTCCTCGGTGGTGCGCGCATGCGCAGACTGCCGATCCGTCCCAGCCGGCATGCGCAGTAGCGATCGCGGCCGCACCAATGGGAGAACAGGGCGCTCTATTTAAAGCTGCCCTGTGCATCTCCAAGTTGCCGCAAGGTCTTGTTCCTGATCCTGTAAGTACGCTTCCTTGTTGCCAAACTCTGCCTGTTCTGACTTATGCTGACCCTCTCCTGCTCTGACCCCGGCTCGTTCCTGACCATCTTTCTGCCTGACCCTCGGTACCGCGCTGCCCGCTACCTGCTGAACCTGGCTTGTGACCCCGACCATTCTCTGCTTACTCCCCCTGTACCACGCTGCCCGCATGATACCGACCCGGCTAGTCTGACCTCGCTCACTCCTAGCTGTCATCCGTCCATCCCGCTCGGATCGGGATCTGTCATCCCATCCATCCACTCGGATCGGACCTGTCATCCCCTTCACAGCAGGCTCATCTCGGGCACATACCCTCAGCGGGACCCCTCTGCCACCGCCGGGGGTGCCCAGGGGCGCGACCTGGTTCCAGTCTTGCACCAAGTCCATCCCCACTATCAGGGGCCCTGGTGAAAAGGCAGACTGGGACTTAGACTCCGCGTCCTGGGAAACCCCGTGCTGTGGACCACTAGAGATCCCGTTGGGCGGAGCCTGACAGTTGATATGACATTTTTTCCAAAATATTGGCTAAAAGACTGCTACCATACTTGTACAGCCTTATCCATGTTGACTAAGTGGGTTTTCTTCCTTTGTCTGAAGCGAAGGACAACACCTTTAGGATGATTAATCTAATCTGTTCAGCCAGGTCCTTTATGTGCCCCCTTTTACTGCTTTTGATCAACACCAATAAGGCATTTGATAGGACGGACTGGCAATTTATGCTCGCTACACTCCAACAAATTGAATTAGGTGCACCTATGATCAGGTGGATTTCTTTTCTCTGTTGAATCCAATCTGCTGCCATGAGAGTGATTGAATGCAGATCAGATTTCTTTCCTATCACATACTGTATAACACAAGGCAGTGTTGCCCTTTGTGCTCCCTTTAATCTCACATTATACCCTTTCACATGCACTAAAAGAAGCAATGACATTTGTTGCTTCTCCAAACCTTTGGGTAGCCATAAAATTGAAGTGTTTAATGGCTGATCTATTCTTTTTCGGTCCCCAATTTTACTCTTCAATCCCAATTCTGTGAAACTCAGGCCCTCCATCCCCATTTCCCTTTCCTTTGGGCAGATAATTCTCTAAGATATCTAGGAACCAATACGTATAATGGCAGATTCTGCATATCTATACACCTCAAACTTTATCTCTTTACTGAATACAATTAAATCCAACATCTGACATTGGCATTTTCTTACTTTGACGTGTAGTATTTCTCTTAGAATGAACATTATCCCCCATATATTATACCTCCTACAAGCCTTGCTTATCATGGTACTTGCCACTTTTATTAAAAAAACCTCAATTCCATGTTCTGGGAGTTTGTGTGGTTTGTGGGGGTTTTCTGCTGTCTTTACTGAAACTGCCTGGCAGCATTGGGCTGTCAGACATCACTTTATATTACAAGGCTACTCAACTCACCAGAGTGGTTGACTGGTGTTGCCACGGGGCTACCAAACAATGGAACACCTGACAAATGGTACCACCATGCAGCCCGCAGAAGCTATATTTCATAAAACCACTTTATCACAGTATATATAGTCACTTATCCTAGTCATTGCGAAACCCAACCTTTTACCTGGCATTACTAGTGAAAGCCTTAGGCACATTTTCTCCTTAGGTATGTTTCTTTTCCTTGATTTTCTGTCCCGTAACTCAATACTTTACCTGGCTGATGTAGCTGCATTAACTGTGCCACCGCTTGATGCATAGAGTACAATGCAACTCCATCACTATCTACTTTCTCTTGATAAAACACTGCTTATACTCTGTTTACGGACATCCTTCAAAACTTTCTGCCATAACGGCAATCCGACTCATCACACTTTATCTCTTAGTTATAACTTATTAGTGAGACCAGACCAAAACTACACCCCACCTTTCCAGGGGCGGACTGACCATTCGAGCACTCAGGCACTGCCCGAGGGCCCGGGGTCAGTAGGGGACCCCATAAAATTCCCCTGGTACCTATTATAGGCTTTTTTGAGTGTGTTTTGAGTGTGGGCAAGGACACAGGGGCCCCATGATCCCCAATTGCCCGGGGCCCCATGAGTTGTCAGTCCGTCCCTGCACCTTTCATTTCCAAATAGGAGGACAATCTGGGAATTTACCTGGTTACCCAACAAAAGTAGAAAATCCTTTACTTTGCGGATAAATCTTAGCTTGCCAAATGTTTTCAAGAGATGGGATACAATTGGTGAGGGTGTGGCTACACAACAGGAACTATGGCCTGCATCTTCTGGCACTGTCCTAAAATCCAGTCCTTTTGGAATGAGGCGATGGCCTCTATCAAACAATTCACCATGGTAGACTTGAGTCAAATTCCTGCTAATCATTTTCAACTGACAGACAAATCTATCTTAAATATAAGAGCTCCCTCAAGCTGCACATGTTGAATGCAGCTAAGGCTTATATTCCATTACTATGAAGACAGCCCCACTCTCCGCCTAAATTCCTGTAATACATTAAACTGGACAAAATCCTCTACTTTAAATAACACCAAAGAAAAAATAGTGGAGATCTGGAGACCATGGTGATACTTCACCACTACAGAGCCATATATTCTGGCTATGACCTTGACCCCTAGTTTCTCATCATACTAGCTTCAGATCCAATCTATGATTCCACCTCACACTGTGGAGGTCCTCTGATTGAGTCACCCTCTGGGAGATGTTGTCACCTCTCCTCTTTTTTTACTTCTAACCTCCCTCGTCCCTTCCCCTCATTATAATTTCTTTTTCTTTAGTCTTTCCTCTCATCTTATCTCTTCCCTACACTGCTCCTTTCCATCAAAGATTCAGATGTGTGATATCCCTCAGACTAGCCAACTACTCACTTCCAATAAATTCTTTTATGACACAAGCTTGTACAGTGAATAGTATAATGAAGTTGCCTGGAGTTCTGTGATCAGGACACCAAAGATTTTACCCATGTTACAAATTCATTGTTATCAAATATGTACTCCAAATCTGACATATCAGTGGGTATGTATATATGTTATCTTTTGGATCTACCCTTGCATTACACCTTTGACTCCTGTATACAATAATGTGTAAGTAATATTTCTTTGTCAGTATGCTGAATAAATGTATTGTTTCTTGATTCTGAAATGCATCTATAAATAAAGAATTAAAAAAAATAGTGGGGGGGCAATTTACTAAAACTGGAACACACAGAATCTTGTGCAGCTGTGCATAGTAACCAATCAGATTCTAACTTCAGCTTATACAATTAAACTTTGACAATAAGACCTGGAAGCTGGTTGGTTACTCCCTCAAGCAAGCATGCTACAGATGGGCTGTGATTGGGCCAGTCTGTACGTGTGACCACTGTGACCAATCTCAGCTGGCAGCACAGTTGTAAGCAATGAATGGCATGAAAGGAAGCCATTCATTGTTTACAACTGTCATGTGATCTGCTCTGATTGGTCACAGCAATTGCATGACACTGGCAGTGGGCCAGTGTAGCGATCTGTCATCTGCCGTGTCCAGTGGACACAGCTGCTGACAGATCGTGCAGGAGCACAGCCCCAGGGGTGTGGGCGAGGCGCGATCTTGGGAGGACATCATATGAACCCTCCCAGGATAATGATTCTGCTTGGCCATCATCTTACAATAGGCGGGAAGGAGTTTGGTGATTTGGTGCATTAATCTTTACCACACCAGTATGAAATCATATTAATATAATATATACCTCCTTCAAAAAAATAAAACCCTATCCCTAAAACACTAGACTCCAACCCCATATTTTTATGAAGAAAATATGACATTAAAGAAAAATAAATAAAACACCCCCAAAAAATGGGGGGGGGGGTGCAGCAGTTAACCTTCCTGGTGGTAATCGCAAGTGTAGCTCGGGGTTAATTTCAGTACCAGAAGTGGTAACCCTGAGCAACACTTGGGATTACATTGCAGTGATCCCTCGAGCCTTACCTTGTCCCATGATCCTGCGAGGTCCTCCCGCTGTGTACCCCGGTCAAGTCCGCCGGCCGATGCCAGCATCCGTCTTCCGGGTTCCATTCCCTGCGAGGGTTGGGACCTACAGGGGAGGTTAAACTGATGGGAGATTAAAAAAAGTAAACATTTTACATACAAACAATACATTGTAATCTGTTAGGATTACATTACTGTATCAAACCATTTCACCTAAATTTTGTCCCTAGTGCTTTCTCCTGTGCCCTGCCTGCTCTTTTACCGTTCTTTCTGCCTGGAAACTGAGAAACGTCCATGGCATCCAAAAAGCGTCCCTTTAAGTCAAAAGCGGTTTTAGCCCAGCTAGAAAACAGCGATAGTGAATAAGAATCACTTGCAGAATTGAGCAATAGTGATTCCTGGGGAAATTCGTCATCAGACACTGAAAACCATTCTACGACTTTCCTCAGCAATGTGCAAACTTGGTGCTCTATTTCAAATTTCAGTGTTTTTGGTTTGATTACAATATTGAATTAAATTTATTATTATTATATTATTATTTTTTATAATTACCGTATTTTTCACTCCATAAGACGTACTTTTTTCCCCCCAAAAAAGGGGGGAAAAAATGTCAGTGCGTCTTATGTAGCGAATATGGAGCAGCCGGTTCGGTATTCCCACCGCTGCTGCTGTGTCAGAATACCAGGCCGGCCGCTCGTCTCTTCTTTGCAGCAGAAACTTACCTGTTCCTCGGTCCAGTGCTGTACAGTCTTCCGGCGCCGGCATCTTCAGTGTGGGCACCCGGCGTCTTCTGGGACACATGACAGGTCCCAAAAGACTTTGGACCAATCACAAAGCACAGTGCTTCTCACGCATGCGCAGTGGGCACCCATCTGTCAGCCGGATGCTCACACTAAAGGGAGGACAACTCCACGGAAGTGGGAGCGGGTACCTGTCAAATTCAGGTACCCGCTCCCCCTCCCTCCCCAAAGGTCCACAGTCTCTGGTCATCCCCTGTGCTGTCTGCAGTCTCTTGGCCATCCCCTGTACTGTCCGCAATCCCTGGTCATCCCCCGTACTGTCCGCAGTCTCTTGGTCATCTCCTGTACTGTCTGCTGTCTTTTGGTCATCCCCTGTACTGTCCGCAGTCTCTTGGTCATCCCCTGTACTGTCTGCAGTCCCTGGTCATCCCCTGTACTGTCCACAATATCTTGGTCATCTCCTGTACTGTCCACAGTCTCTTGGTCATCCCCTGTACTGTACGCAGTCTCTGGTCATCTCCTGTACTACGTCCACAATCTCTGGTCATCTCCTGTACTGCCCGCAGTCTCTGGTCCTCCCCTGTACTGTCCGCAATCTCTGGTCATCTCCTGTACTACGTCCGCAGTCTCTGGTCATCTCCTGTATTATGTCCGCAGTCTCTGTCATCCCCTGTACAAGTCTCTGGTCATCTCCTGTACTGTGTCCGCAGTCCCTGGTCATCCCCTGTACTGTGCATCTCTGGTATCTCCTGTACTGTCTGCAGTCTCTGGTCATCCCTGTACTGTCTGCAGTCTCTTGGTCATCCCCTGTACTGTGTCCGCAGTCCCTGGTCATCCCCTGTACTGTCCACAGTCTCTGGTCATCTCCTGTACTGTGCGCAGTCTCTGGTCATCTCCTGTACTGTCTGCAGTCTCTGATCATCTCCTGTACTATGTCCTCAGTCTCTGGTCATCTCCTGTACTGTGTCCGCAGCCTCTAGTCATCCCCTGTACTGTGTCTGCAGTCTCTGGTCATCCCCTGTACTGTGTCTGCAGTCTCTGGTCATCCCCTGTACTGTGTCCGCAGTCTCTGGTAACCCCCTGTACTGTGTCCGCAGTCTCTGGTCATCTCCTGTACTGTGTCCGCAGTCTCTGGTCATCCCCTGTACTGTGTCCGCAGTCTCTGGTCCCCTGTACTGTGTCCGCAGTCTCTGGTATCTCCTGTACTGTGTCCGCAGTCATCCCCTGTACTGTGTCATCTGGTCCCTGTACTGTGTCCGCAGTCTCTGGTCATTTCCTGTACTGTGTCCGCAGTCTCTGGTCATTTCCTGTACTGTGTCCGCAGTCTCTGGTCATCTCCTGTACTGTGTCCGCAGTCTCTGGTCATCTCCTGTACTGTGTCTGAAGTTCATTGGTTCAGAATATTTTTTTTCTTGTTTTCCTCCTCTAAAACCTAGATGCGTCTTATGGTCAGGTGCGTCTTATGGAGCGAAAAATACGGTATTTATTATATTATAATTTATGATTTTGTTTTTCAAACTTTATCATGATAGCCCTAAAAAGAACTGTAAAAGGAAGAGTAGGGCACATAATTATAGAATGCACTTGCCACTGAATTTTACAGTAATATAGCACATTACAAAACAGTGAACACAGGGGTGTACACACTATGTAAACCACCATACTGCAATTTAGTTTAATGTAGAACAATGCATCACTTTTTAGAAACACTGTTTAGTTCTCCCTATTTCCCAATTATATCTCCCTGCAAACAGTCAGGTTTCTCTATCTACTCTAGATCTCTCCAACCCACAATAACATAGGTCTTCTGAGAACCCTGACTTTTATAGGGAGGGGCTGGAACATACAGTATAAAAACACCATTATTTGCCCTTTAAAGCCACCTGACCACATTTCAAATGCCAGGGAGAGCATTATTGGTAATTGGTTACTACTGCAGCAAATGGCCACATTAGTTTGTCATTTTCCCGAACTATGAACTCATATTTATCTAAACCCTAAGCTCATCCCTAGTAGTTACATTAGAATACAAACTTCTTCAAAGATGGGGACTGAGAGGAATGACATATTTATTTAGTGCTTTCAGATAGGTTGTCATTACAAACAGTATATACCTCCCCCTAAATAAATAAACAAATGCGTAGAATATATATATATATATATATATATATATATATATATATATACTGTACCTCAGAGTGAAGCTTTGGGAATTTTAATCTGTCATGCCAGCTGAAAAAGAGTGGCTACTATGGAAACCATATCAAAGAGACCCTGATACTAATGATCCTGTCAAATTCATAGTTTATATAGAAAGAAAAAAAATCTCTCTGAAACCTGTGAAAAGAAAACATCTGGTCTGGAAGTTTATTTATAGCACTTTTGCTTGGATGTTTGTGGACAAATACCGCTTTAAAGTGTTACTAAACCCAGGACACTGCATTCGCTATATCTGGTTTTCCACAGTACACAGAACATGGAAATGCAATTAATTTAGTAAATATAAAGCGCTAAGTACCTTTTAAAGTGCAGTCTTATGACTTCTGTAGGTGTCCAGCAGAGCACAAGTTAAAGCTTGTAGGATGAGTTTTCACTCTGCACTTGGAGAATGCAGAACCCCTGACCTCTGTCTGGACAGTGCTAATTGGCCCTGTGCTGATCACATGCACTCTCCCAAGAAAAGAAAAAACATCTCTAGCAATACACACCAAATGAGCATGTGCAGAGTGATATGTCTTATCAAGAGATAAAACTGGTCACTGGAATAAGGGGAGGATCAGTGAAGTCATGACCAAACAGCCTTTATACACAATGCAGATGATAAACCCCTTAGATTCCACAGTGAGTATATCAAGCATGCTTTACTGCATATACAGACTGATTTTACAGTTGTGGGTTTAGTAGCACTTTAAGTCATAGCAATATCACACCTCCAATTTCTTCAGCTATACAGTAACAGGTAAAGGGAATAATACATAAAAACACTTTGTATTTTGCAGCCAATTTAACATGATTGATTAAGGAAGATTCTATTTATTCTTTGTATTTGTACAGATACAGTAACACAGTTTATATGCACAGCTTGTATAGTGTTAACCACTTGCCTTTCTGAAGATTTACCCCCCTTCCTGACCGGGCCATTTTTTTCGTTATGGCACTGCGTTACTTTAACTGACAATTGTGTGGTCGTGCAATGCTGCACCCAAATGAAACTTTTTTTCCCCACGATTTGAGCTTTCTTTTGGTGGTATTTGAAATGCCTGTGCAGTTTTTTTATTTTTTGCGCTATAAAAAAAAAACGTCAATTTTGTGAAAAAAAACTATATTTTTGACTTTTTACTATTAAACATGTCCAGTAAAAACAATTTAAAAAATCAAATTTAATTATAAATGTAGGTCAAAATGTATTCTGCAACATGTCTTTGCTAAAACAAAATCCCAGTGCGTGTAAACGAATTGGTTTACGTAAAAGTTATAGCGTTTACAAATTCCAGTATGTATACTGGGACTTTTTTTTAATTTTTACTAGTAATGGCGGCAATCAGCAACTTAAAGCGGGACTGTGTGGACATTCTGACACTGGGTGGGAACTGACTTGGTGTCACTGACTTTCCCAGTGAAACCAATACAGTGATCAGTGCTAAAAAAAAAGCACAGGCACTGTACTAATGGCACTGGGCAGGAAAGGGTTAATATGAGGGGCAATCAAAGGGTTAACTGTGTGCTATATTCTGTTTTACATAGTGTTGTGTTAGTGTGCTTCACTGTAAGCACACTGCTTTGCATGGGTGTGCTGTGAATAGCCATGCAAAGCAGTGTGCACGAGCTGACAGGGAGAAGAACTGTTTTTGTTTACAAACAGATCTCCTCCTCATTGGAGATGCTCGGCAATCACCAGCCTGGACCCGGTGATTGACAGCCGCGAATGGTGGCTTGGGCCTCGCGTGCGCCCCTTACCCGGAAATGCAAAATCACGTGTATATATACCTGTACCGCCCTGTAGCAGTATATCTGCTATAGGGTGGTCGGAAAGCTGTTAAAAAAGTTCGTATTTGCTGCAAAACCATTTTTACCATTCCCATCACATATAGTATACTCAAAATGCATACTTCAGTATAGAGAATTCACCAAATATTTATTATATTAGTGCCTGTCCAGCAAAAAAAAACAAAATAATGGTAAGTGAACAAAAAAAATTCAAGTGCACAACACCAACACAAAAATGTCCACTGAGCGATGTGCTTTTGTACACCCCCGAAGGGGTAGGACCTCTACCCTGATCTCCCAGGCTGCAAGGCTCCTGACAGGGACAAATGGTTTCCAACATGGTCTACCTAGCCAAAAGGCAGACCCCTGTCCTTGTGGTTAGCCAAAGCCAACCACCAAGTGCTAGGTCAGGGAGATCTCCCAAAGAGAACCCCCCCAGGATCAGGGGAGGAAGGAACCTAAGGGCCACGTATCCTCCCTCTTGACCTCAGGGTAGGCCCGAGGACCCACACCCTCCATCCAAGTGAGAAAAGAACACATACATAGGTGACAGGTGACAAAACAAATGTTACAATTGTGGAAAAATACCTCTTTAATTCATAGCAATATATTTGGAATTGTGTCAAAAGTACATCACCGCAAATTTCTTCAGCTATACAGTGACAGGTAAAGGGAATAATAACTAATTCATTTAAATAGGATTATTGTTTACTTTTCATATTTGAAAAAGAATACATGAAGATTCTGGGAATTATTATATGTTAGTTCAAGCACAAGTGCTGGGCACTATTATTAATAATATTTCAATATTATTTTAAGATACTATATTATGCACAGCAACTATAAATGCCAAGTGTATAGTATTTAAGTGAGCAGTTCCATAATTTACCAAATTCCCTCTGAATAAACTACGTACTATCATTTTAAATGTATGCATCAGGAATTTTAACCGTAGGTGATTAAATACCAAAATAAACCAAAATCATCTAGCTAAGAACTACAAGATTTTTTTGCACACTGAGTGGTGTGGGACTGCTATATAATTGATTTATTCAATATATGATTTTGGTTTATTTTGGATATTGATATTTAATCACCTTTGGTTTATGTAAGCACCAAACCTTTTCTTTATTTTTTTTTGATTGGTGAGTGTGTTTTACACCATTTAAAGGAGCAGATAACACATATCACAGTAATCCACCACAAAATTACTAAAATATTTTTTTTGCATTTTTTAATGGATGTGACTAATGTTTATTTAAAAAAAAATATATAAGGCTTTCACAAGAGTAGGTGCTTAGTCCAACTTAGTCCAGGAATATTAACTTGTAGTGAATGTTAGGTGAATGTCACATTTACTGCTTTTTAATAAGCCCCTTAACCTGGATATCCACGTATTGAAATTTCAGTTAAGCAGGAACCTTCTGAACTTTGGTATGTGTGTACTCCTTCTGTTTAACAAATGCTGATCATTAGACCAGCTTCTGTCAAACGGTCCTACTGGAAAACCAGCACTCACTCAGTGCATCAGTGCATGCAGCCAATCAAATCTATGTAGATCTCTGAATGGACATAGTAACAAATGTCAATGAATC